GTTAGGGAGGGCGCGCCAGGCGGTGACCCTGCCGGCCCGCCCCCCGCAGCGGCACGGCCGCCCAGGGCCCTCCCGTCTCTCCTGCCCCCCCCTCCCGTGGCGCTCACCGCCGTGGAGCCCTTCTTCACCGCCTCCTGCGCGTACTCCACCTGGAACAGGTGCCCGTCCGGCGAGAAGACGGTGATGGCGCGGTCGTACCGCGACGCCATCGCCCAACCACCGCCGGGCCTCGAGGAGCCGCTCACCACGTGCGAGCCGGAAGTGCGTGGTGGGCCCGGCGGAAGTGGGGGGCGGGGAGGAGCCCGGGCCCACCCGGGCCGGGCTGTACAGCGATGGCAGGTCCCGCTGCTCCCAGGGACCGGCCTGGGCGCCGCTCCAGTTCCCCCAGGCCGGTCACCCCGGTGGGGTCTGATCACCGAGTGCACACACACATCAGGGTGGGGGTGATCACCCAGTGCACACACACACACACACACACACACCAGGGTGGGGATGATCACCCAGTGCACACACACACACACACACACACACACACACACACACCAGGGTGGGGATGATCACCCAGTGCACACACACACACATCAGGGTGGGGGTGATCACCCAGTGCACACACACACACACACACACCAGGGTGGGGATGATCACCCAGTGCACACACACACACACACACACACCAGGGTGGGGATGATCACCCAGTGCACACACACACACATCAGGGTGGGGGTGATCACCCAGTGCACACACACACACACACACACACACCAGGGTGGGGATGATCACCCAGTGCGCACACACACACACACACACACACACACACACCAGGGTGGGGATGATCACCCAGTGCGCACACACACACACACACACACACACACACACACACCAGGGTGGGGATGATCACCCAGTGCGCACACACACACATCAGGGTGGGGGTGATCACCCAGTACACACACACACACACATCAGGGTGGGGATGATCACCCAGTGCACACACACACACATCAGGGTGGGGGTGATCACCCAGTACACACACACACACACATCAGGGTGGGGATGATCACCCAGTGCACACACACACACACATCAGGATGGGGGTGTGGCCTGGGAATAAACACAACAGAATGGGGGTGATCACCGGGAATAAACAGACATCAGGGTGGGGGTGATCACCAGGTGCAAATACACATCAGGATTGGGGTGGCTGAGTGTGACCTCTGAACCCAGACATCCTGGTTCTGTTCCCAGTGGGGCACAGGCCCAGGCTGCGGGCTGGACTCCCGGTGGGGGTGTGCAGGGGGCAGCAGATCCATGACTCTCAATCATTATCAGTGTTTATTTTTTTAACATGCTCACTGATTTCAGAGAGGAAGAGGGAGAGATGGAAACATCAGTGATGAGAGAGATGCATCGAGGGGCCGCCTCCTGCTCCATCCCAATCCAGGGGGCAGCCTGTGCAGCCAGCTCTTTGACTATGGAATCCGACCCTGACCTGGTCCACAGGCCCAGGCTCAACCACGGAGCCATGCGGCTGGGCTGTACACAGCTTTGGCATCCTCTCATCTCCTGAGGGGCACGTGGGCTGTTTCTAGAGCATGATGTGCCCAGCCAGCGGGGATGTGGCATACTCAGCCCCACGTTGGGTGCCATAGGTGCCGATCCAGCTCAGCCAGGTTTGGTGAACCTGAGAGGGGCGGTGAAGGATGGAGAAAAGACAGACAAGAGGAGAAAGCTGGGTCTGGGTGGGACGCTGTCCTCTGATGGAAAGACAGTGCCACAGCCTGCAAGCCAGTCTTGATTTTATAGCCGATGCCAGGAGGCAAACTAAGGATTTGGTCAGAATGTTCTCATGGGTTTCAAATCTACTCATTTACATTCACCTGAACTCGTATCAAGCCCACGTCACTCAGCCACGTGGGACACAGGTTTGGACATACGGTCAAACTTACAACCACACCCTTTGGCTATAACTGCGCTGGGAGGGCTTGCCCTCCAGGCTGGGACCTGCACGTGGCTTTGCCATGAGAGGACAGTGCCCTCTCATCAGTCGGAGGCTTGAACCTGTCCAGATGCGGTCGCCGCTCCCCACGCCCCGGCCATGGTCCATACTGCTGCTAGGAACGTAGGGTGTACATCTCCCTGATGGGTGTTCTTAGGATGTGTTCCCAGGAGTGGAACTGTTGGGTCAGGAGGCAGCTCCATTTTTAATTGTTTGAGGAAATGACACTGTTTTGTCCAGCAGTACGGGAGAGTCTCCTTTTCTCCATGTCCTCACCAGCACTTGTTTGTTGATTTGATAGCAGTCAACTTTATTGTATATGTGAAGAAAAAGTCGAAGTTGTCTTTAAAAAGCCAGGTGGTGGACAAGACTTTGTTTCAGTTCTGAGTTCAGTACAAGTTCTTCCAAGTTGATCTCATCCTGTTAAATCCAGATGCAGCAGAATGGTTCTTCCCAAGGCGTAGGACAGTGAGAGACAATTAAATTCATAAGAGTCACTGCTGTTCGTAGGAGTATAAATTGCCTTCCCTTTTTTCCGAAGGATGACCTTAGTGTTTTCATCCTTTAGGTCTTGATTTAAATATAATGAAGCCACCCCATCCACTTCACACTTGTACTTGCCGTTTCTGCCCTGTGGGTCCTGCGGGTGTGAGCCCCACGGAGCAGGCGTGGGTCCAGCTGGCTCCACTGTGCCCAGCATGACTGTTTTGGGGCAAAGATTTACTTATTTTTTATTTTTATTTTTTTTAAATATATTTTATTGATTTTTTTTACAGAGAGGAAGGGAGAGAGATAGAGAGCTAGAAATGTCGATGAGAGAGAAACATTGACCAGTCGCCTCTTGCACACTCCCTACCGGGGATATGCCCGCAACCAATGTACATGCCCTTGACCGGAATTGAACCTGGGACCTTTTAGTCCGCAGACCGATGCTCTACCACTGAGCCAAACCGGTTTCGGCGAGATTTACTTATTTTTTAAAAATCATATTTTATTATTTAAAATGTTTTTATTGCCGGGACCGGTTTGGCTCAGTGGATAGAGCGTCGGCCTGTGGACTGAGAGGTCCCGGGTTCGATTCCGGGCAAGGGCATGTACCTCGGCTGTGGGCACATCCCGGTGCGGGGTGTGCAAGAGGCAGCTGATCGATGATTCTCTCTCATCAATGTTTCTAGCTCTCTATCTCTCTCTCTTCCTCTCTGTGAAAAATCAATAAAATATATTTAAAAAAATGTTTTTATTGATTTCAGAGAGAATAGGAGAGGGAGAGCCAGAAACACTAATGATGAGAGAGAATCATTGATCAGCTGCTTCCTGCACACCCCCCATTGGGGATCGAGTCCAAAACCTGGGCTTGTGTCCTTAACGGGAATAGGACCCAGGATCCTTTAGTCCCCAGGCTGACGCTCTACCCATTGAGCCATACCAGCTAGGGCCGTGGTTGGCAAACTGCAGCTCAAGAGCCACATGCGGCTCTCTGGCCCCTTGAGTGTGGCTCTTCCACAAAAGAGTCTGTTTTGAAGAAGTGGCGTTAGAAGAAATTTAAGTAAAAAAAATGTGACTCTCAAAAGAAATTTCAGTCGTTGAACTGTTGATATTTGGCTCTGTGGACTGATGAGTTTGCCGACCATTGAGCTAAGGCATATTTGAAACAGAAAACTTTAAAATACACATTCCCCCCGCCCCCCCAGTTTATTTTGTATGTAAACTGAGACATTGATTTTGAGCCTCATTAATGTTGGGTGACATTTTATATACATGTTTCGTGTTCTATAGAAATTAAAACTTTAGAATTAAAAACAAACCCCATACTAACACATTGATTTTACCACGTTGCTCTCGTTAATTGAGGATTTGGGTTTTCTCCCATTCTGACCCGCAGCCTGACCGCTGGGCCCTGGGCCACCCTCCCGGGCCCAGTGGGGCGCCGCGCGGCGGAGGCGCCGCCCAGGTGCGCTCGGGGCGGGCCGAGCCGTTTGAACCGGCCAATCCGCGCTCCCCGCTCCGGGCAGGTGCCCCCCCGCCTCCCGCTCCCTCCCGCTTCCGGGCGGACAGGCCCCCGGGGGGCGAGGCTGAAGTGCGGACAGCGCCAGACCCCGGCCAGCGCCGCGCGCGGGGCGGAGGGGGGAGGCCGCGGGGCGCGGAGGGGGGAGGGAGGAGCCGGGTGTGGAGGGCGGGGCGGAGGGAGGAGGGAGGAGGAGGAGGGCGGGGCCGGGCGCGGAGGGAGGAGGGGGGAGGGAGGAGCCAGGTGAGGAGGGAGGAGGAAGGAGGAGGAGGGGGCGGGGCCGGGCGCGGAGGGAGGAGCCCGGTGTGGAGAGCCGGGCGGAGGGAGGAGGAGGAGGAGGAGGAGGGCGGGGCGGAGGGAGGGGCCGCGCCGGAGCGGGGCGGGCCGGGCGCTCGCACTTCCTGTGCCGGCGCCGCTCCCGCGCGGCGGGCCCATTTCCTGGAGGCGGGGGGGGGGGGAGGGGGGAAGGGGCGGGGCGAACGCCGGGCCCATTTCCAGGAGGCGGGGGGAGGGGGGAAGGGGCGGGGCGAACGGCGGGCCCATTTCCTGGAGGCGGGGGGAGGGGGGAAGGGGCGGGGCGAACGGCGGGCCCATTTCCTGAAGGCGGGGGGGAAGGGGCGGGGCGAACGGCGGGCCCATTTCCTGGAGGCGGGGGGAGGGGGGAAGGGGCGGGGCGAACGGCGGGCCCATTTCCTGAAGGCGGGGGGGAAGGGGCGGGGCAGAAGGCAGGCCAAACCACTTGGGCCGCGAGGCGGGGGGGTGCGGGGGAGCCGCGGCCGGGGGGCGGCCGGCGGGCCTGGCGGGGGCGGGCCGCGGGGCTCAGGGCGGCCGGACGCGGGCCGGGTAGGCCGCCTGCGGGCTGTGCCTGCGGAGCGGAGCCGGGGTGGCGCCCGCGGCCTCGCGCCCCGCGCAGGCGCCCCCCGCGCGGTGGTTGGGCCCGGAGGCCGCCCCGCCGCCGCCGCCGGAGCCGCCGGGCGGGAGGGCGGGAGGAGCGGCGGCAGCATGTCGGTGGCGTTCGCGGCGCCGCGGCAGCGCGGCAAGGGCGAGATCACGCCCGCCGCCATCCAGAAGGTGCGGCCGCCTCCGGGGCGGGCGGGCAGGGCCGGGGCGGCGGCGGCGGGGCGGCCTCCGGGACCTGGCGTCGGGCTCCCCCTCGGGGCCGGCCCTCGGCGGGCGGCGGGCGGCCCGGGCCGGCGGCGCGCGGGGGCCGGGCGGTCGCCCGAGTTACTGGAGTCGCCCCGCCCCTCGCGCCGCGGCCGGGGAGGCCGGGGAGGCGGCGCCCCGAAGTTGGGGGGCGCTGGGGGGACTTGGGGCGCTCCCGGGGGACGTGAGGACGCGGCTGGGGTCCTCGTGGAGCGAGGGCGAGCCCCGGGGACTCGGGGCGCCGGCGTCCCCTCGCCCCGGGAGCCGGCCCGGGCCGGAGTGACGGCGGCTGGGGGACCTGGCGGCGCGGGAGGCCGTGCGGTCGCGCCCTCGCCGGGCGCCGAGGCCCCGGGCTGCGCTGCCCCTGCGGCTGCCCTGCCCCGGCCTGTGCGCGGCCGGCCCGGCTGGCTCAGCCCAGACCCCGCGCCCTGCCCGGAGCAGGGTGAGCGGACGGTCAGCGGCCAGAGGGGCCGTCCCGCGCCAAGCAGATACACGGAACTTTCCTTATCGAGTTGACTGGGTGACATGGTTAGTAAGATGACCCCGATTTCAAGAGGACAGCTCTATACTCAGGGCCTGTGCGCGGATTGCGTGCTCACCGCCCAAAGCAAGCCTCCCGGAGTCACCCCTTTCCCTCGCTCCCCAGCTCCGCTCCGCTCCCCGCCGCCCCTTCCTCGCCTGCTGTCTGTGTGGCTCTGTCTGCAGTTGGGCTTAATCCCTTCCCCTCTCCCTCCGGGTCCCCCGCCTCCTCTGACAGCTGTCAGTCTGGGCGGCTTCTGTTCACTCCGGTGCCGGGGAGTTTTCCTAACTGTCTAACTGTTGCTTTATTTCAGGGGCCGGCGGGCTTGGCGGTGTCTAAACAGGCAGGGTTTTCACAGAGTGAACGGGCTAAGTGTGCCCCCGGCCTACAGCTCTGAGGACACACACACACACACACACACACACACACACACAGCATATTTGGGGGCGGGTGAGAATTTTTATTTTTGGACTGTAGCAAAGTTCTGAGTATGTCTCTTTTTCCTACAGTTATTCTTACATACTAATACATCTTAAGGTATTTCTCTTGGGTGATTAATTTAGGAGATGCTGGTCAGTTGGTTTCCATCCTTCGGTGAGAAGGAGGAAGGGATTCCAAATTAAGTGCTCCATTCTGCAGTGTGAAAGATTGATTTTAAATATGAGACATATTCCAACGAAGTTCGTTAGGTTGAGGAATCTGCCGGGGAGATACGTTGTGAAGTTGTTGGTTGGACTAAATGCATTTTAAGGATATGCTTTTTGGCATTCAATGGTTCTCTTTAAGAAATAACCACTTTTTAGAGAGGAATGCTAATATGTATATTTTTTCCAGCAAGTGCAGATTATGATTCACATCCGGAAAGAAAAGTCACAGTTAATGTTAAATGGGTCTTGGTTTTTCATAGAAAGAGTTGCACTCACTAAATGATGGCATTTTCTACTTGGCGCTTTGGTGGACGATGGGGTGGGTACCGGAGAATCAGTCACTCCTGCCTCCCATCTCACAGATAAGCCTGAGCCCTGACTTCCCAGTGCTTGCACAGAATGGCCTCACGTTGTTTTAGGATGATAGGATGGACGGAAACCGGTTTGGCTGAGTGGATAGAGCGTCGGCCTGTGGACTGAAAGGTCCCGGGTTCGATTCCAGTCAAGGGTATGTACGTTGGTTGCGGGCACATCCCCAGTAGGAGGTGTGCAAGAGGCAGCTGGTTGATGATTCTCTCTCATCCATGTTTCTAACTCTCTCTTCCTCTCTGTAAAAAAATCAATAAAAAAATATTAAAAAAAAAAGATGATAGGATGATGTAAATGCGTACACTTTTGTTCTTAAGCTTCTGGGAGGACCTCAGAGTGAGGTAAGCTCAGAGAGGCAGCCATGCACGCTACACAGAGGCAGGAATCGTGTTTGACTCCATATTTGGAGAACCACAGAGCCGTGCTGTGTGAGGCTGAGAAGCCAGCCAGCTCCTCCGGCCCCCTGGGCTCCCAGCATTGTTCCTGTACGGGCTTCATTCTGGATAAGGGGGATTTTTTACTAAAAAGCTTATGAATGATACGGAGCCAACTTGGACTCAATTTGTCGTCTTACCAGGCTGAAGCCTCCATGACATTTAGCAGAGGTGGGTAAGTATTCCCCTCGAGCTGCCTGTAACGACTCAGGGGGAGAAGAACTGGAATAGAGTTACTGAGAATGGTTGGTGAAACATGATATTATGCCCAAGGTGTGAAATAGGTTTAAAAGCTGAGTGGGTTCAGCTTCTGTGTAGTTAAACATTTCTAGAAATCCGAAGGATTTTACAATTTTTTACTTGATACACGAGATTTTCAATAAACTTTTTCTAATTTTATTTCAGATGTTGGATGAAAATAACCATCTCATTCAGTGTATAATGGACTATCAGAATAAAGGGAAGACCTCGGAGTGTTCTCAGTAAGATTGATTTGAAATTTTGAAAAGTTTTTATTTTTCTGCGTTGTTTTACTTTTCTTTTTAGCTTTATTGAGATCTAATTCACGTACCATAAAATTCACCTATTTTAAAGTGTATAATTCAAGGTTTTTAGAATACTCATAGAGTTGTACTGTCACTTTAATCAATTTCAGAACATTTTCATTATCCCCAAAAGAACTCTTGTACCCATGAGCAGTCACTCCCGGTTTCCAGCCCCCAGTTTCTTACCCCCTGACAAACACTAGCTGTTCTGTCTGTGCAGATCTGCCTGGTGTGGCTGATACATTTAAAGGATTCACGTAACGTGGGGTATTTTGTGACTGACCTCTTTCACTTAGCACGTTTTCTAGGTTCATCCATGTTAAAGCATGAATCAGTACTTCCTTTTCATCGCTAACAATGTCTTGTTGTCAAGAGCTATGCCACATTTATCCACCAGTGATAGACATTGGGTTGTTTCCTTGGCTATTTGGAGTAATGCTACTATGGACATTAGTGTACCCAGTTTTGTGCGACTCTCCTCAATTTGTCCATGAGGAAAATATGTTCTCGGGAATGGAGTGGGTATTAATTTTTCACTCGCTTCTTATCCTGCATAACGTAAGGACTTCACATTTGTGTGTGGTCTGATTTGTGGAAAAGTTAGGCCTTCACATACATAGGACCTTTAGTTCTCTCCATATATGTGACGGAGGAAGCACAGGTCAGGTGTAATAGGTAGAGAATTGGTCATCACTCATAAGAACCCAGCTGGAGGTGTCATGTTGGAAGTAAACAGTCTCCCTTAGGAGACTGCTGGAGTGGAACAAGTTGAATGTCTTATCAGAAGTCTAGAACAGCACCATCCGGTAGACATGCTTGTGAGCCACATATGTACTTTTACCTTTGCTAGTAGACACTTCAACAAGAAGAAACAGGAGAAATTAACTTAAATAAAACATTTTATTTAACTCCTTATTTTAAAAATAATGTCACTTCGATATATAATCAATATAAAAACATTAATGAGTTGAAACCGGTTTGGCTCAGTGGATAGAGCGTCAGCCTGTGGACTAGAAGGTTCCAGGTTCGATTCTGGTCAAGGGCATGTACCTTGGTTGTGGGCACATCCCCAGTAAAGGGTGTGCAGGAGGCAACTGATCAATGTTTCTCTCCAATGTTTCTGCCTCTCTCTCTGTAAAAAAATCAATAAAATATATTTTAAAAAAAACCTTAATGAGATAGTGTACATTGTTTTTGTTTTTTTAAATATATATTTTATTTCAGAGAGAAAGGGAGAGGGAGAGAGATAGAAACATCAATGATGAGAGAGAACCAATGATTGGCTGCCTCTTGCATGATCCATACTGGGGATCAAACCTGCAACCTGGGCATGTGCCCTTGACCAGAATCAAACCCGGGACCTTTCAGTCCACAGGCCGATGCTCCATGCACTGAGCCAAACTGACTAGGGCTAGTTTACATTCTTTTGCTTCATATTAATTCTTTGAAATCTGTTGTGCATTTATTCTAATAACTAGAGGCCTGATGCCCAAAATTCGTGCACGGGGTGAGGGGGAAGGTGGGGGGCTGGGTGTCCTTAGCCTAGCCTGCGCCCTCTCCAATCTGCGACCCCTTGGGGGATGTCCAATTGTCGGGACTGCTGGTTCTTAACCGCTCACCTGCCTGCCTGATTGCCCCTAACCGCCTCTGCCTGCCAGCCTGATCACCCCCTAACCACTCCTGCTGGACATCTTGTGGTGGCTATCTTGTGTGAGAGTGTGATGGTCAGTTGCTTAATGCCTCTTTATTATATAGGATAACAGTATTTTGGAGCAATCACATTCCAGTGTGTACCTGGAGACACCTATTTGTAGGTGAGGGGGAGAGGTGGGTAGTAACCAGCTGGCCAACCCTGACAGCCACTGCTGCGAGGGAGAAGGAAGAGTGGTCCCACCTCCTCGCTGCGCGTTCGCAGAGCACGCTGGCTCTTCGCGGGGTTGAGGTTTTGACAACGTGACAATGGCACAGGGCCGGAATAAGCACACACTCCGAGACCTCTGCATTGCAGACCTCCGGAAAGCGTGTGCCCCGCTAGGGAATGGTCCGCACTCAGCTGTTTCATTGGCTCAGCCGTGTGGTTCCCTTTAGGCCCCTCCCTGCACCGTGTCCTCCTCGGTAAAAGGGCGAAAAGAAGAACTTTGCTTGTAGTGCTGTTTTGAGGATTAAATGAGGTGGGGAAGCATATAAAACTCCCTGTAACAACATTGAGCACAGAGAACCTCTGCATTTCTCATCCTCTGTAAAGGTAGGCAGTGGAATTATTTTGCAGAGGAACTAGGAAACAATGAAAGTTCAGGGAGTAGAGCTTTCGTTAGCCTTGAGAAATGATTAGGATGCTGTTTGTATTTCAGCACGCAGGAAGAATTATTTCCTGCTGATACTTGTTTTATTTTAATAGGTACCAACAGATGCTGCACACGAACTTGGTCTACCTGGCTACGATAGCAGACTCGAACCAGAACATGCAGTCTCTGCTGCCAGCAGTGAGTACCTCCAGGCAGGGCACGGGTCTGTGCAGGCCTATGTGTGTGTCAGTTTTGTTTAGTGATTTTTGAGGTTTGTTTAAATCGGGTCCCTGCCCCTCAGAACATAAAACTGTTTACCTAGCGCAGTGGTCGGCAAACTCATGAGCCAACAGAGCCAAATATCAACAGCACAACGATTGACATTTCTTTGGAGAGCCACATTTTTTAAACTTGAACTTCTAACACCACTTCTTCAAAATAGACTCACTCAGGCCATGGTATTGTGTGGAAGAGCCACCCTCAAGGGGCCAAAGAGTTTCATGTGACCTGGAGCCGCAGTTTGCCCACCAGTGACCTAGATGATGTAAAAGGTTGAATGTTTTGGCTTCGTATTTGATTTAATTCACCTAGAATTGATCCTTCCCTGAGGAAGTCCTATTCATCCACCCATTCCCCCACTCACCAGTCCATCTACCTATTTTGTTATTTATTTTAATATGTAATTGCACAACTAACTTATGAATAAATCTGTAGCAAATCCCAGATATTTTATAAGTTTACTTATTAATACTTCAGTAAGCCTCTTTATCAGATAAGACTATTACCCCACTCAGCAAGAGTAACTGACGTTTCTTACTGCCTTGTAATACCCAGACTGTCCACGATTTTCACCAGTTGCTTAGAAAATCCACCGATGTCTCATAATTGTTCGCCACGGAACCCAAACAAAGCCCACACGTGGCATTGACTGCTGTGTCTTAGGTCTCCCTCCATTGGTTCAGGGTCATTTAGTCGCCACGTATTTGGAGAACAAATGGGGCCATGCGTTTGTAGAATCTTCACATCTGGACTCGGCCGATTCTGCCTTCATGGTCCTGTCACATGCTGTGTCGGTTGCCCCTTCTCTCCCAGAAGCTAATAGTTAGAGCTGTGTGAGAGGTGGGCTCGGTTGTTGGTCCATTGGTGCTGTGGACTGCCTGCTTCAGGAGGACGTGTTGGCTGGCTGTTCCGTTTTTGGCGATGGGAAGTCTAAACTTAGAGTTCCATGTTTTTCATGGGTTTGAACCCGTGGCTGGCCTTCTCTGGTCCTCGGGGGTGGTGTCTGTAGTGGTGGGAGCCCTCTGGTGGCTGCTGTGTCCACCTGCGGCGATTGCAGGACCTTGTGGCCACTCCGCTTTGAGGATTTGAGGGCGATCAGATGGGTCACGTTTGTCCCAGAACTGTTCTGCCCACTGTTTTCCGAGCCTTCCTCTGCCAGTGGGAATTGACAGTAGAGATCACGATTTGAATGTTTGGGGCATTCATCGTTACTGCGGTTTCATTGTCTCTTAGGCGTTTTCAGTGGACAGAACCAGGAAACACATTGTTTTAGAAAAAAATAAAGTATTGGATTAGTGATATTTCCCCTTCGGGGAAGGTTTTTTACTTAGTATCTCTTCTGTCTTACTCTAAAAATCTCGGTACCTACGACATTACTGTAGTTGTTTATTTGCTATATACCACTACCAGTAAAATAGGATTTTATTTATTTATGTATTTTAAAGAGTTTAAAATTTTTATTTCATTTTTTAATATATTTTATTGATTTTTTTACAGAGAGGAAAGGAGAGAGATAGCTAGAAACATCGATGAGAGAGAAACATCGACCAGCTGCCTTTTGCACATCCCCCACTGGGGATGTGCCTGCAACCAATGTACATGCCCTTGACCGGAATCGAACCCGGGACCTTTCAGTCCGCAGACCGACGCTCTACCACTGAGCCAAACCGGCTTTGGCTAAAATATGATTTTAATAGAACACCTCCAGGTTTACCACTAGCAATAAGATGCTTCTCTTAAGATGTAGCCTACTCAGGATGTATAATTAGTAAATTTTTTTTTTATATATATATTTTTATTGATTTTGTACAGAGAGGAAGGGAGAGATAGAGAGTTAGAAACATCGATGAGAGAGAGTCATGGATCAGCTGCCTCTTGCAGACCCCCTACTGGGGATTTGCCCGAAGCCAAGGTACATGCCCTTGACTGGAACCAACCCGGGACCCTTCAGTCCCCAAGCCGACGCTCTATCCATTGAGCCAAACCGGTCCCGGCTATAATTAGTAAACTTTGTTTTGAATCTGAAATAAGTCTTTGTGTGATGATTGACATGAATTTGGTTACCAGCTGAGTAGAATTTATTTTTGTTAATTGTGTGAGGAATAGGTTCTATTTTACTTGTTTCCACATGGAAAGTTCTCTGTCCCAGCATTCTTTCCTGGACACCAGAGTGTCCTGCCTTTGTTTGTCACGCCATCTAGATCGTGACTACCAGGCTGCCACATAACCTGTCGGATCTCTCTCCTGCTTCATTGGTCTGTTTTTATAAATTCCACAGTCTTGCCACACTTGGCATAGTCTCGGAAGTCTGAATGTATTAAAGAAGTTTACTAATTCCTTGTTTTTTTCAGAATAACTTGACTAGTAGTGCTTTGCGCTTCCATGTACACTTCAATTTCAGCGTGTCAGCTTACTCCTCAAATGACCTTGACATTCCTTGCCTCTCAGTCAGGTGGGGAGAATTGATACTTTTACAATGGCGAGTCTTTCAAATCATGATGATGGTCTATATTTTCATTTATTTAGTCCTTTAATATCCAATGAAGTTTTACGATTTTCCTGCAGAGGATTTGCGCATCTCTCTCAGGTACTTCATGTTTTTTTTTTCGAGGCAAGTAGAGTCTTTGCGTTTTAAGTTTTATTTCCTCTGATTGATATTTACATGGAAATGCAGTTGATTTTTAATTTCACAATCTTGTTCAATCTAATAATTGTTCTGTCGATACTTTCAGTTTTCTATATTCACCACCGTATTATTTATGATTAATTGGTTTTGCTTCGTTCTTCTAATTCTTACACCTTTTATTTCTCTCTCTCTCCGTACTTCCCTGGCTAAGACCTCTGTACCTTCTCTGGTGAGAGAGGACATCCTGTCTGTGGCTGACCACAAGGGAAGTTTTCCCTGTCTGACCAGGAAGTGCGATGCTTGCTGTAGTGCTCCCAGATAATGTTTCCTCAGGCTAAGGAATCATTCCCCTTTGGTTTCTGTTGTGTTCAGAGTTAATATCTTGAATGAATGTTAAATTTTGTTTGAATACTTTCTATTGCATCCAAGGAGATCACAAGTTTTTCTTAATATGTTAATGTGGTGAACTACATTAATTTACGTTATAATGGTCAGTCAATCTTGGTTTCTTGTAATTAACATACTTTTTCTCTGGTCTTGGTCTTAAAAAATTGTATCATTCAGTTAGTTAACATTTTGATCATGATTTTTATGTCTTTGTTCATGAGTGCAATTGGTGCTTAATTTTTTTTCTTGAAAAGTGTTGTCTGGTCTTTATTGTGAACTGTGCTGGCTTCATAAACTGAGTGGAGTATTTCCCTCATTTTCTTAGTCTGGAGTGATTGCAGAATGGAGCTGCGGGTTCTCAGGGGTCTGCAGTTCTGTAGAGGAGCCTCCTGAGCGACAAGACTACTTCATTTCCGTCGTTGTCATGGCGTCATTGGTGTATCCTGTGTTTATAAATTGCCTATTTTTATAAATTGTGCTTTTGAACATTTTATCTAACTTTTCAAATTTGTTGGCATAAAGTTTACGAAGCAATGTGATTATTTAATATTCTCAGAATATATAGCAATTTTTTGTTTTAACATAGTTTATTTGTATGTTTTCTTTTAAAGTATATTTTTTATCCCTTTTTCCTGGTGTTTATCACATTTTTTTAAAAGTCTTTTTAGAGAATCTTTTTGGTTTTAATATTTCTCTGTTGCAGCATTTCTCAGAACTTTTTGTTTTCAGAACCCCTTTACATTTAAAAATTATTGAGGATAGCGGAAACCGGTTTGGCTCATTGGCTAGAGCGTCAGCCTGCAGACTGAAAGGTCCCAGGCTTGATTCCGGTCAAGGGCATGTACCTTGGTGGTAGGCACATCCCCAGTAGGGGGTGTGCAAGAGGCAGCAGGTCGATGTTTCTCTCTCATCGATGTTTCTAGCTCTCTATCCTTCTCTCTTCCTCTCTGTAAAAAATCAATAAAAATATATTTTTTAAAAAATTATTGAGGATAACAGAGCTTTACGTAGACTAAATAGATATATTGAGATATTTGTTAAAAAGGTATTTATTCACTTAAAATGAACAATAAAAAATGAACAATAAACTTACTGCATGTTAATATAAAATTCTTTAAAGGAAAAATTAACTATATCTTGTGAGTGTAGTGAAATATGGATGACATTATTTATAGTAAGCCTGCAGATTTCCTATAGTGCTTGGCTAAATAGCAAACAGCTGTACTGGCTGCGCCTCCTGGGTTTAATCTAGGTTGCCAGCTTCAGTTGCAGTAGAGTAAGATTTGGTCTGACACAGATGGAGGTAGGAAAGGGAAGAATGTTTTACTCACCTTTTCAGATTGTTGTGAATAATCTGATAGTATAGCAGATCCCAACAGAGGTGTTTTTTAAGGTTATTGAAGTATGAAATCTGAAATCATGTTCTTACTGATACTTTGAAGTTCATTGGTCTGTCTTGCATTTTGGATGGGTCTTGTACTCACGCGTGATTTTGTAACATCATGCTTTGGTCATTCAGAAAATGGAAGTTCACTGAGTATGCACTTCTTCTAAACATTGACATATTTTATTCTGTGATACCCAAAACCACGTTTGGTAAATCACTGAGTTACCACCGTCTCATCAGCAAAGTCTCTAGTGTTAGGATACTTGAAACTCAAGAGAGTAGCTAGTAAGTTTGCCAGATTCCCAGTTCTTGCTGAAAAGTCAAATCTGGTCATTGGCTGCAGATGCTATAGAGGTGCTGATCCGTGAAAACGACCTAGGTCTGGGCTCGGCAAACTGCAGCTCCTTGGCCCCTTGAGTGTGGCTCTTCCGCAGAGCTCCACGTGCGGGCGCCCACGTACAGTGCGATTGGAACTTCGTGGCCCGTGCGCAGAATTTGGTTTTTGGCTCTCAAAAGAAA